TGTTTACGATTGATGATGAGATTCACGAGTAGCATTCGAGACGAGCGTTCTTCTCGTATCTTGTAAATATGCAGATGAATATCAGTTTCATTGATTCTGATTCATTGCTTCAGAAGCTGATATGAGATATGATAAATATAACTGTAAGATGGATGGTGCTTTGAGATGGATGTTGATCAAATGAATGGTGCCGAGGAGAAGCTGAAAGAACCTTTTATGTTTGTGTTGTTCCCTTGTGACAACACATCGAAAGTCCTCGTTGGCAAAATAATCAAAACGTGCTCTATTGCCAAACGTTTTTTTTGAAAAACCTCTGATCATCAAGTAGTGATGCTTTGTAAGTTCTGGATTTGGGTGTCTCACACATTGCCTTTCATTGCGGATTTATTTTGTTTCATTTCCCTAATTATTGGAGTCGGTACCACCATTTATGAGCAGATATTAGCCTCATCACCTCACCCCTTTTTTCATTGAATCGTATGGTATATTGTAAATTGTATTGTATTCAAGATCAGTTTCATTCCATGATATTGTCTTCTGGCGGTGTCACGGATTGATCTGATGCAGTATCTTACTTCCAAACTCTTATAATTCAATCCAACTCTATCCTGTTTCCGTACTCTAACCTTTTTTTGTCAAGAATTTCCTGCCTCATGTTATTTACTTCATAGTCAGTTAAACTAACTATTCCGGATAGATGCTCAGCTCGAGCCTGTTTATCTGTATCATGTGTCGTACGATGTACGGCGTGGAAGTTCATAAGTACACATGGAGTTTCACGTTTCACGGCCTTACGTGGCTAGGTCCCTGTTGGGAGGTTAATCTATGACACTCAGGGTCGCATTTTTTAAATTCTAATTTTTAATTATTTTATTCTTCCCACCTTCTGGACTTCGTGTCAAGCCCTGTGAAAATCCCGGGAAGCTCTAGAACTTTTCAAGTTTTATTATTTTTTTTTTGCGTTTTTTTGTTCATTTCCGATTTCTTCATTCTATTTTAATGATGTACAATGGTTTCTTTCCCGGATGATGGGAGATCGAGCACCTTTTTTTTGTCTTTCACATGCGGTTTTGCTGTTACTAATCTTAGACACGACGTTCGACTAAAAAAATTGTTAAATTTCATAAAATTTGAAGAAAGTTACAGCGCTTTCCGAGCTATCATTACCGTCTGATG